ACTTTCCTTTAGGTTCTTTGACCCATGCCATGTACTTCCAATAATATCCTCTTTTCCACAAGCTAGCCATGGTCAGTATCTGTTCATTCATTCAGCAAATATCCACTGAGCACATGCTATGTAGTCTTTATCACTGAAGAAAACAGACAAGAATCACTGCTCTTATGGACCTTGCATTTTATCAGGGAGAGAGATGACGAACAATATAAAAGTAAGAGTGCTAGGAGTGGGCAAGTAGTTTGCAATTAAAAATGGAGTGGTTAGAGGAGGCCTCACTGGGATGAGTGACGCCTATGCAAGAACTGGAAGGAAATGAGGGATAGAGCCGTGTGATATCTGAGGGAGAGTAACGCAAGCACAGGAACAGACAGCAAAAAGGCTGTGAGGCAGGAGCTCATCAGTGTGTTTGAGAAAAGAAGGGAGGCTGTTGTGGCTGTATCAGAGAGGGAACAGGACAGTTCTAGAAAATGCAAGCAGAGGAGATAGGATCCTAGGTTATGAAAGGCCTTGAAGGTCATTGGAAGGATTTTGGCTTTTACTCTAAAAAAAAAGTGGGAAGCAATAGAAGGTTTTGAGCAGAGGGATGACATGACCTTTTATTTTAAAAGATCACTCTGGCTTCTGTTTTGAGAGTAGATTTCCAGTGGGGAAAAGTAGCAATGGGGACTTACTTGGGTGAAGATTGGAAAAGCTATTGGAATAAATTAGAAGAGATACAAGGGGGGCATGAGCCAGATGGTAGCAGTGGAAATGGCAAGATATAGTCAGATACTAGAAATACTTTCAAAGAAGAGCCAACAGCATTTCAAGATGTAAATGATGGGAGAAAGAAAAAGTCAAGAATGATTGCAAAGTTCCTAAAACTAAAACCAGAACGATGGAGAAGCCATTAACTGGGATAGAAAGTCTGAGGATGGAGAAGGTTTTAATGGGAATATATGAAGAGTTCCTTTTTGGACGCTTGTTGGGTGGTTAGGTAGACATGTCCAAAAGTAATACAAAAAGTTTGGGACAGTAGTCTGGTCTCAGAAAATAAATTTAGAATTTTCTCTGCATGGATAACATTAAAAATCCTGAAACCAGATGAGATCTCCAAGAAAGGAGATACAGATATGGAAGAGAGGACCAAAGACCTAGCTGAGACAGTCTAGTATTAACAGATCAGGGACAGGATGAGGGCTGTGAAAGGAAACTGAAAGTCATCAGTGACTTCCAGGGAAACCAGGAGAAGGGGCTGTTCTGGAAGCCAGGCACGTGAGGCAAGTATGCCAATAGCAGAAGGGGCCTGGGGGTGGTTCCTATGGTGCCAGATGGTCCTGACAGGTCTAGAAAGACAAAAGATAAGAATTGAACTTTATATTGACTAAGATGGAAGGTGTTAGTGGTCCCAGCAAAAGCACCAATAGTAAAGTGTGAAGACAAAAATGTGGACCTGAGTGATTTAAGAGGAAATGGGAAGAGAAGAATTAGGGACAGTAAATATTAACAAAGAAGAACAAACAAAAGGTGGTGTGTATTATGCAAAGAACCTCAGAGAGACAAGTAATACAGCTGTTCGGTTCTTAAATAACTTCTTCCTTTTTTCTCCAAATACTCTTACCTCTCCAATTCCCATCTTTCTTTCAATATCCAATTCCTGTTATCCCTCCTGTCCCTGAAGGTGTGCTTTAACATTTATTTTCTATGCCCTTATTCGACATTCAATCAAATTCTGCCTCTAATTTTTACTCTACTCTTCTGTTCTATATTTTATCTTTCCCCCAAATTATTAGTTCCTAGAAGGCAGAAACAATGCTTTAGATTATTTTGGTTCTTATAAACAAATACGAGATTATTATAAGCACAATGGGCATCCAAAATGGCCTTGGCCACTGTTCTCTGTCAGATTATTTTATATTCCCACATAAATTAACTAATCCTCACTTTATTAATATTTTGATAGGTAAGAATAACAACAAATATGAAATTAATGTTGGTATCTTATTCCATTTTAAAATCAGAACAGTGTATCAACATGAAATAAAATTTCATAGAAAATCAAGAGCCCAATATATTGTATATACTGATGAAATCCTCTCATTTATTATATTGCCTTCCTTTCCATCACCCCCATAGGCTCTTCATGGAAAATATGTGATTTTGGCCCTGGCCAAGTAGCTCAGTTGGTTGGAGCATTGTCCAGTCTGCAAAAAGGACTTGGGTTCATTTCCTGGTCATCACACACACATAGGCTGTGCGTTAGCTTCCAGTTGGGGCACGTGTGGGAGGCAGCTGATCAGCGTTTCTCTCTCACAACCAGTGTTTCTCTTTCTGTCTATTTCTCTCTCTTCTTTCTCTCTCTCAAATTAATATACATACCCTTGGGTGAGGAAAAACATTTTAAGTATATAGTTTTGAATAACATTGCTAATTTGTTAAAAATCTCAAAAAATAACTCTGACAAAATAGTGTTTCTCTCTTCCCAACAGTCTCTAGATTTTTGTTTCTGCAAACAAGAGAAGGGGTTTCATTTTTGCGAAGTCCACATCTTGTGAGACAGTACAACTTGAAAATAAGACCAGTTGCACCTGAAGTAGTGGGGAACGTGGGGAGGGAAGCTGTGTCTTCAGCAGCCATCCGTTTCTCTCATGTAGTTTGCCCGAGTTTGCTGTTAATAGACCCAATGCCCTCTTGGATGCCAGGCTTGGGCCAGGGTAGAGGTGGCAGCCGAGGTCTTCAAGATTCACTCCTTACTCTTCCTGAGATGTTAGCTCCAGTGGAGAAAGGTCACTCTGGGTACAGCAGAGCAATTGATAAAAGGCCATGGGACTCCACAGGTCAGCACGCCAGTCTTGTTCCTGCCAGAATCCTTCATGGAGCAGCATTCTGATTTAGCATTTGATCACAGCCTGACATGGGACTGATTCTGAGCAGCATCTGCCAGCCTGTTAGGGAAGCCTACTGTAAATTAGGACCAAACTCAGCTTTTTCCCCATTGCCTTCATAACCTTTGTGTAAAAGATAAGTTGGCATAAACTCCCACATATATCTTTGACTGTTCCTGTTATTGGTATTCTGGAAAACCATTTGCTCAGGATATATTGGAATTTTTCCAGTCTTGGTCTTAAATATGTAAGATTTGCCCACAAAAGACTTTTCTCTCTTTCATATTCAAGTCATGGATGAATATTGGTGTCTTTTCAAAGGAAGTATTTTTTCTATAGACAGATTTTAATTATATAGAGTTTAAGTCAAAATTCAAAGTTCTCATGTTTTATACCTGATTTTAGTTGCATAAGTACTGAATTCTAACCTACAATAATAGCATCAACACATTCAAATTAAAAAGACTATATTATTAGTGTAAGAAACTGGCCAGTTGTTCTGGCCTAGCAGTGAAGGCGAGTATCAACACTTGATCAGTCTCATGACTTCTCCTGTCATAGTTGTCCTCACCCACAGTATGAGAGAGTTATCTCTCAGCTCTCTGCTATGCTAGTGTTCTACAAGAACTGTCCATTCAAGCCATCTCTTTTTCAGTCAGTTGGAAAGTAATTTTCAATTGCTCACTAACTGAAATATTTTCCTTGGCAGTGCTACATCCATGTCTTAACAGCTTATTTCCTAACTTCTCTGAGTTTATACAAAACTTGTAATTTTCCTCCAGGTAAGGATGATAGGGCATAATGTCCATCCACCCTGTTTCCCAAAAGACACTCCCACACGTGATTTAACTTGGGAGTTATAAAACATGCAATTTTATAGATGGGTATTTTTAAACATGACTACAATTTCAAATATATGGCTTTTCTGTCACTGGGGCTTAGCTAAGTGCTTCTAAAGTAGGAGAAGAAACAAAAAAATTACTGCTTTCGTCAGGATTGATGATGGTAGGCATTGAAGGACTTTACTCTTATACTCCAGAAATACCTGTCACTTTGAACTCAATTCAGAACAGTAACTTCTAGATCTCTAGCTTCCTTGACACTTAAAATTCCAAATAAGTATGGCTACTAATGAGTGACAATTTCCAGAGACATGGCATTCAATTTTTCCCCCTTCTGTTCTCTCTTACTTGAATACTGATTTCTGAACCTTAGGCAAAATCATGTAGCAAACATTACACTCTGGACGTATTGATCTCTACAGTTGTTGCATTGAAATTGTTAACAAAACATCAAAATAACAAAATTGATTAACTAAAAATTATTTGTTTTATTCAAAAGAGTCATTCCTTAGGAAGCTATGAATTTATAATTTTGGCATTGCTCAAACACACACACATATGGGCACACAAACACAGCAAAAAAATTAAAAGCTGCTGGTTTTGGTTTACCATCAGTTTATGAATAACCTAAGAAAACCAGACACATTCCTTTATAATTGAGCTTTGCATTATAGTTAACACACTCAAGGCTATGTAGCCAGACTACTATAACAAAGTTCCCATTTACTTGAGAAGAACATGCAGTCTTTCTTATCACCATGTTGATACTTTTTTGAGTGCCCAAAGGCAGAGTGAAACATTACATTAAGAACAATTTTTATTTTCCCTTTGACTAGCAGTTTAAAATGTCAAAACTATATGCTGTTATCAGTAAAGTACAGCCCTTGACCTTTGAAGGGTTCTTGTCAAGAAAGAATTCCCTTCAGGAATATCAAGTAAACATGACCAATGGGGTAGGTCTAATTAGTGAAGTGTACACCATTACCTTGCAGTCAAACTAATATTCTATACATATTTGTTGAATGAATGAATGAACAAATAAAAGAAGTAATGATGAGTAGTACATGATATAAATGACAAAAATATATTTAATATATAAAGTAACATAAAGAAGTGAATAATACCATACTGGCAAAGGAAACAAAGTGTATTCTAACAAACTACGTAGAGTCTTGATTCAGTGCATTGCAAAAATACTGTTTCAACACAAGGAAAGAACCCGGAATCTTCCTTCTGTTTTTATGCCGCTTTCGGCACCAAACCTGGCAGTCCTCGGTGATTAGTCAGCCCTGCACTACTCTTGCACATTGCTGCGAGACAGCCAGGCACGAGGTGTAACTGCCATCTGCGGTTTTCTTCCTGAGCAAAACAAGAAAAAACACTGTCTACCCTTATGTATTTGTCAAACTAATGCACACCTACATTTATTACCCTATGTAACAGCTCTGCCATGGAACAGCAATGGAGACAAGGGCAGGTGGACACAGTAGCTTCTTCCACCTGATGGCAATTACCATTGATAAGGTTCCATGCTTGTCTATGTGTCAGCTCTGATGAATGCATCTTTTTTTCCCGTGGTATGTCCTGTATTTCTTCTTAGATTATAAAATCCTAGGGGGATTTTATTTTATTCTTATTCTCTTTAATATATATATAATACATACATATATACATGTGCTTGTTTATTATCACTTGTATGTATGTCTATATGCCTGTGTATGCTTGTGTATATATCATCATGGGTGTATGTGCATTCTAGCATATACATCTTCCATAGGTGTTATCAAGCAACCATAGAACTAACTGACCTCTTTTGTTGATCTTCCTCTGAATTTCTGGAGCAATTATCTTACATAACTGTTATTTATTATTTTACCTTTTTATTTATTTAACATGATATAGTAGAATAATATGGATTTAAACTCAGATAACCTGAATTTGAATCCTATATTTGGCTTTAAGTTTGTCACATAACTCCCTGACTTCTAATTTTTTCATTGTGAAAATGAGACAATAATTTACAATATTTTGTATAATGGTTATAAATATATGTGAAGCATCTAACATGTAATAAATGTTAATTCCTGGGGTAACTATGATTTGTATGATTGCCTTTCTCCAAAATTTGATCAAAAGCTCCTAAAAGCTGCCCTGTCTGGTATGGCTCAGTGGATTGAGTGCTGGTCTACAAACCAAAAGGTTGCTGGTTCAATTTCCAGTCAGGGCACGTGCCTGGGTCGCAGGCCAGGTGGCCAGTCATGGGTGTGTGAGAGGCAATTGATAGATGTATCTCTCACACATCAGTGTTTCTCTCCCTTTCTTTCTCCTTTCCCTTCTCTCTAAAAATAAATAAATAAAATCTTTTTTAAAAAGCTCCTGCAGGATAAAAATACTATTTTGAAATCCACAATGGATTTGCTAATCAAAACCACAAATGCATAATGGCACTCTATAAATACATGTTTTTACACTGAAAAATCCACATAGTTTGGACTGTAACAAAACAAAGCTATCACACTGTCCTAAGAACATAGGTGAAGCCCATTCATTCTCTCTATGCTTTTATTACCTAACTATTGCCCCTTAGCTGTCATGGTGCTCCATATGTTGCAAGCACAAAGAGAGCAAATAAATATGCCTTTCAATAAGCACATTAAAAATTAATGTCATTAAGTGTAATTCTTATATATTGAACCAAGACTAATCTGAGGTGGATCTGGTTTTTGTAAATGTGAGGCATTGGGCACCCACATGGGTTCTGATCAGTTTTTTCCTAGTTACCTTCCAGGGTGCACAGCACAAAGCATTTGGTGTAACCCACCTGGGCAATGGATGCAGGGAGATGACAAGACACCAAGAAGACTTGAAACCAGGGTTCCTGATATTGATCAAGTGATACACAAGCAAAACAATAGGCTGTAGACAGTCTTTCCTTTTCAATCCATTTTCAATCCACAGCTCTAATGTTCTCATAACATATGTAAACTGAAAGTGTTCCACTTGTCTTGCCTAAAACATGGCTAAATTGATTGCAGGTACAATAGTTTATAAGCAACATTCATAACTGAGCACTGTAAATATTTGACTTCGAAAACAACACAGGTTGAACATAAATATTTACTTTCCCCCTCTCTATTTGCCAATTGAGTTTCAAGGTAGATGCATGTTTTATAAAAGAATAGGCCCTATGATAATTACTGTGTCTACTGAGTAATTTTTCTTTTGATAACTACAGAGCCCATCATTTCCTATCATTAGGGTGCCACGAGAATTATTATTTTCTGTTTCTCTGTTACTCTTCTTGTCTAATTAATAATAGTCCTCTTTATAAATTCTGTTGCTGGCCACTATCCAGCCTTAACAACATTCTCTAAAGCTAAACACATTTCTTTTTAGTTCTTTTAAATTGTTATTACTATTTTTTTCTATTTTCCCACGTGGCACCACAGTCTAAGCTCACAAAAAGTAAAATACTAGATTTAAAGATTTAGGTAGGAAAAAATTATGTTTTTCAATGTTTTTAAGGAACAACCTTAGCCATATCTCATTGTTACAAATCTATATGCAGAAACGAAGACTATCTCCACATTAGAAACAGACTCAGAAACCAAGTTAGAAACACAAGCTGATTACGTTTTGTTCCTGGAGAGAGTCTTCCTCTGACCTGACATGACACTGGAAGGTCAGTCATGGTACTTGCCACCTCTGATGTGCTCCCTGAGCACTGGTGGAGAAAGCAGCCCTAGCTGGTATGCTGTGTGAGGGTTCCTGTTCTGTGCCATGATTTAAACCTCCAGATCATGAACTGGTTTAAGAAAGGGTACCTGACTGCCAACCCTCGGGATGACCAGAAACCTATGAGATGACTCGGTGTGAAAGCCCAGCCCCACCAGAGTCAATATTCACTTGTTGGAACAAACACATTCTTTTACTTGGGACTTTGAAATAAATAGTCAGTTAATAATGAGATAAAAATAAGAATTTACCACCCCACCTTCCTCCAGGAAGTAGAGATGGCCAGAAGCGGAGCACCAGGAAGAAGATTCACAATCATTCTTGCTGCTAAAGTGGCGATGAGATGGGAAAGAGCCGCCTGGGTCCTGGAAGGCCCACCACAAAGGTGTGCAGATGGTGACTGACATCGGACAGCCAGGAGAGGTCTGCCCGCCATGGATGTGCTTTTCTTTAAAATAATCTCCCACGAACTGAGATGACCAAACTGTGCTTTTCTCTTCCTAATAAATGAAAAGCCTAGCTAAGAAGAGGCACGCTTGATGAAAATGTTCTTTTGAACAGGGCAACCCATAAGGATTTTAGAATCCTTATGGGCCCACTCAGAAAAGAGCTTGCCAAACATTTAAAAAGCACGAACACTTTTTTACTAGAGTGAGCATTGATTTGAAAATAGTTTCATTACAAGAGGCTCATGTACAGGTGGAATTCATAACAATCATAAAGTTTATCATCAACAGCAGGTGCACAAAGGGTCTGGATTCTCCATCCTAAAGCTATCACAGAGCCGGGGACTCACAGGGAAGCCAGAATCATCCCAGATGCAGAACGTGGGAGGCAAGACAGGGAAGATGCAGTAGCACTAGCCACCAGGTCTGTGTGCAGAACATAGTAGGAACTCCAAAACAGTTAAAGAATTCATTAATTTCCCCTCTTTAAGTCCCCTGTCCCCCCTAGGAGAGTGACAATGAATGCAAGGCCTCCACATTTGTAGTTTTAGTGAAGAATTTTAGTTTTTGAGTGACTTCCAGCAATTTGACTGAGAAGAGTGTCAATGCCAAATTGTGGTAAAGGTCCTCTGGCAGCCTCCCATAGCAAGGGCAAAGGAAATAGAGCAGAAATATGTTTCTCCCCATCCTTTCCCCAGTTCATCTGTCCTCCAAAACAATCAGTTGCAGAGGGGATGACAGGAATAAAGCATGGGATCAGTTTGCACTGTAGTACTTCAGAAATTATCCATGGAAGATCTATATAAGTTTTTAGGGTTTCAGAAATCACTTTCTACAACTTTTGCTTCCATATGCTTTGATGACCTTAATGACTATGCAAACACCAGGAAGACAGCACATAAAAGTCCCTGTCTTGAGCAAGGCCTAGTTTATTGGCCTGCCCAGAAGGGGTCATTATGGATGCAAATAGAGGTACCAGGGATATAGTCAAGGTTTTAACTCTTTAGAACAGCTTCCAGTGCTCTGTTTTTTCTGCAGGTACCTGGCAAAGATTCACCCTGTGATGATAAATGGCCATCATACACTCAGTAAAACTGCCTCTGCAAAATACTACTGCATCTGACTGACAGAGAAAAGGGGATTTATTATAGAAGCTGACAATCACATAACAGAAATTATCTATTTATGTAAATCAGACCCTGATGCTCATATATAAAGTTTCTTCTGCATGCACACAAACAAAATGGAATGACTCTCTCTCTCTCTCTCTCACACACACACACACACACACACACACACACACACACACACACGCATACAACAGTGGAATGTTTCCATTGCTCTATCTTTTATATTAAACATACACCTGTTAAAGATTTTAAATATTTAAAAAACAATAACAATTACACTAAAATATAGTCAAGTTTTTGAAACCCAAAATCCTTTTATGCTTCCCAATTTCTACTTCAGGTGTCTTCTCAGAGTTCTCTGCCACAGGTTCTTTATAAATTTCTCTCATCCCTCCTTCTCCCTGGGCTAGAGTGGGATGAAAATACAAATAGAGTGGGATGGACTTTCTCAAGGACCTGCAAATTAAGAAATTACCTTAAGATGGCATTTAAAAGTTCAGTGACTAATAGTAATAAAACAGTATTGCATAATTCTCCAAGATGTATTCCATTTAAAATGTTCTATATTTAAAAAAATTATTTAAACTAAGCTATGTACCAGTATATAGTGAGAAATATTTATATATTTCTTTTAAGTTCAATGTCTAATTCCTATACTCCCCCTCTCTCTATATATATCCCTGTATTGCTGCCAAGAAACACTGCCATAGAAGAAAGTAAAAATATTTCTTTCTAGTCCTGATCATAGAGTACATTGGTAGTTCTGATAACCACTTCCAATGTGGGAAATGGGGCTCCGTCATGCCAACAAGCAATGTCAGGACAACAGTAAGTGCCCTAAAATTTAACTATGACACTGAAATTAAATAAACTTTAAATCCTAGCTCTAGAAATCATCTCTCTCTCTCTCTCTCTCTCTCTCTCTCTCTCTCTCTCTCTCTCTCCCCCTCGTAGATCTAGCCCTTCCCTGAATAATCAGCAATTCCCAAGGCTGTAGAAGACCATAGCCTGGACCTGACTAATGTTCAAAAGTTCTGGAGTTTTGTAA